AATCTCAGTAGATCCGAGAGATAGACATATTTGGTAGGTGACTGAATCCTGGCAAAGTCATGGTCTTACATTTAGATGCATTAAGGGATAGTTCTAGTAAATTAAACCACTCCGTGAACCGATCAAAATCACTCTGTAATAAAATACAGTCATCCAAGGAGGATAGAGCTTAATATCTTCTGCAAAACATAAAATCTGGCTATTGGAAGGTACACTTGATACACTGTTAATGAATAGAGAGAACAGAAGCGGAGACAAGTGACCTCCACGAGGAACACCGGACGTAGCAAGATAGACATTAGATTTTATTCCAAGCAATTTGACCCACTGGTAACGGCAAGAGAGCTAAGACGAAAACCAGGACATGAGAGGTTCACCTATTCCGGATAAGTTAAGGACCTGGATTAGGGCATTGTGATTAACTGAATCAAATGCCTTGTTGAAATGCGTGTAAATAGTATCTACCTGTGTTTTCAAATTAAAAGATTGGTATAAATAGTTGTTAAAGACTAAATTACAGGTAATGGTGGAACGACCAGGGCGAAAGCCATGCTGTTCCTCTATAAGAATTTTATTGATCGAAGGTTGGATACAATGCAAGACCAACAATTCAAAAATTTTGGAAATGTGTGACTGGATTGAAATCGGACGATAGTTAGAAACATTGGACAGTTTACCGGACTCGTGTACAGGGATAACTGAGTTGAATTTTAATATAGAAGGAAAGATTCCTTCTTCAAGTGAACGCTTAAAAAGAGTCCAGAGGGGAAAAGCTATAATATTTTTTAATTGATATAAGTACTCACCGGATAAACCATCAAGTACAATGGACCAGTTACCATGCGAGTCAGATAGGTGTTTATAAACATTTTTAACAGTAAAGTTAACATTATTAGGTACATCAAAGGATTTGATACCTAACGAGGAAGTATCAAGATTAAGTTGATTATCGTAGAAAACAGAAGAGAAGTACATAGAAAACAAATTGGCCGCTTCCTGTTCGCTAGTAGAGGTAATTTCCCTATAGAAAACCTCCTTAGAAATTTAATTAAAAGACCTTTTGTTTTTAACGAACTTCTATATGATGATTCTATACGTTCGACATATCTATGTAAACATTTTTTAGATTCGTATTTAAATCGAGCTAGAAGCAATGAAAATTCCCTATAGTCGTGAGCATTCGAGTATGTCTTGAATTTAATATGTGCCTTTTTCTTTAAAAACAAGATATTTTTTAGACTCTTATCAAACCAAGGTGGGAAATTCGAATCAGTAAATGTACACTTAGGAACAAATTCAAGAACTGATTTGTGTAAGGCATCATAAAGAGCAATAAACGCAGCGTCTACATTGTATAATTGGAAAGTTGAGTACCGTTCAAAAGATGATAATAACAAACGTGCATCCTCGAAGTTAGCTATACGAAAGTTGTAGAATGAGTGACTGTGGTTACAAAGAGGAGAAGACAGATTTATTGGGAGATAAATATTTAATGCAGGATGATAAAGGTCAACTGGAACAACAGGTTCATACGACTTTCCGACATATATTAGTTTACAAGAAAATACAAGGTCAAGTATAGAATTAAAATGATTAGCTCATAAAGTATAGGAGAAGAGTTAGGGGGAAAATAGACACCACTTAAAACAAAACTAGATTGACCAACCGTAAAGCGAACAAAAACTTGTTCTACATCTAAGTCAGGGACAGATATAAGAGAAGCAGGATAATCTTTATAAATGCCAACGAGGACGCCTCCACCCCGAGAAAATACACTAGTATTAGTACATCTGTCGCATCAAAAAATATTATAATTATATAAACCAAGTTCATTATCATTAAAGTTATTATTTAACCTGGTTTCCGTTAAAACGATAAATAAATAGTTAAAAGCAGGTATATTACATATTAAATTAGATAGTTTGGTTCTAAGTTCACGGCAATTTTGATCAAATCCTAAGATTTTATCAAGGTGCAGCGAAGAAACTAGGATTGGCTGGTATGACTGTTGAAACGACCATCCTCGTTTTTTGAAAGCGATGAACCAACAGTAGGGAACCCGTTTACGAATATTACGCACAGACCAGTTTCACCACTTTTGACTCTCCTTTCAAGGTCCTCGTAGCATAAGCGCAAGAGCTTACGCTGCAAGGAAGTTCTATCCCTGGACATCCGAAAACCTTCAGGAAAAGACTTTCCTAAACGTTTAACAGAATTATAAGCAGATAATAGGTTGAAAGCAGTATCTTTAAATTCAAAAATTATTTTTACTGTGCATGTGAAATCCGCACGGGATCTACCAATGCGAATTAACTTAAATTTCACAAAAACATCATTCTTCAGCGAACCGAGAGATTTAGATATAGTAAGTTTGTCATGTTCAATCCTTGTAGAGGTATCCGGCGAAGAAGACTCAGGAACACCATATAAGATTAAATTGGGGAGACACCTTTCATGCTTAAAAATTTTCTTGAAGTACATGAGATGCAATAGATTGGGAATTCTCAAAGGGTTTGATGCCCTCCAATCTAGCAACTTTACTCTTAAGTTCTTCAACTTCACCACAGAGGATGGCATACGAGGTTTTAAGTTCGAATACTTCTTTAATCAATTTTAGGAATTCCGAATTTAGTTCAAGTTCAAATAATGCCTTATAGGTAGTGAATATTTCCACCTGAAGAGCCTTAATATCAGCCAATATATCGTCATTGGAAGTCGGGCCTTTAGGGGAAGACAGTTTATTGTTGGCAGCAGTACGAGTGATAGGCATGTTGAAAATTTAACTAGTCAACAACGTTTACTATCGTTTAAGTCTCCGAAGAAAAGCAGAGCAATGGTACGCGTATAGTATAAATTATAACAATATTTTTACCACCGTTTAAGTCTCCAAAAGAAACAGCTGGTAAGGCCACAGCTAGTATTGATAAAACAGCTAATAATTATTGACAAAATGTAATGATAACACGTATCAAATAACGATGTTCACTACGACTTGAGAAAAAGAAACAATAAAAACTTTACTAAATTAGTATACAATTATGTAAATCGATGTACACCGCAACAAGAACATTCAATAAGTAGTATACAATTAATTGCACTAGTAACTGTTAAATATAACAAAACACATTAATGTAACAACAGAGAGCAATAATGAGCATAGATAAACAGTGACATAGAATGAAGAATAAAGAATTAATAATTTAAAGAATAAAGAATAAATTAATTAAATACCCGTATATTTTTTCAATTAAATGATTTCATTTTAATAGTATTTAAAATCCAAAAAAAGTATATTCAGCGTAGTTACAAATATTTAGTAATTTATTATTTAAAAGAAAATTAAGAAATTTTTGGGGATTTTTTACTTAATTTTTTTATTTATAAATGCTTATTTGAGTGTTTTTCATTATATTTTTTAATGCTTTTTTTTATGATTTTAAGTGCTATAAGTCCCAAACCCTGCTAATAAGTTTTCAATAAACTATTCATTAGAGTGTTCCTTATGTTTGTAATATACAAAGAACATTGCTTTCAAGTTTTTTATTATTTTTTTTATTCTGATGTGAAAAAAATTATTTCAAATATCTCATGCTCCTAACTCAATTTCAAAATGAGCATGCAAGCATTTGAAATTTTCTATTTAAATAATGGGGATTTTGATTTTTTTTAAATTATCATAGGCTTGAAAAAAGTAAAATAATATGATTTTTGTGCCAATCGGCACAGAATTTAATGAACTTAAGTACTTAAAATTTTGTGCAAACGGTAATTTGCATATGTGCAAGACTATATGGCTAAGTATGTTAACAATTTCACGTAAAATTCTAGTTATTTCATCTAAAAATAATTTTAATAATGTCTCATTAACACTCTTATATTAGTTTCACATGTATGTTGTTTGTAACTTTTCACTCGCCACGTGTTATTATTCTCGCGTACCCGTCGTCTATGACCTTGAGACTAGACGTCGTAACGTATTCACCCCGCCCTGCTCACCAAACACCGGCAACACTAATTCTGTATAATTTTATATTTTTGGTTTTCCTACCCGTGCACGCGTGCATGATATCAATTATACAGGGTGTTCAGTAAGTCAGGAAACAGGTTTACAAACATTGTTACAAACAATGAGAACAATAGAAACCCGTTTCCTGACTTACTGAACACCCTGTATATATATAAACAAATTTATCTTTTGACTGACCAATACCGCTCGCGTGTAATGCACCTTACGTATATATATTTATATATTCCTACCGCCGCTTCCGGCGTTTATACCTTAGGTATAACGTACCCCCGCCCACAAAACAAGGATATACCTAGTGCATGATACGTTTACGTACTTAAGTCGCTTTACATGTATATATATATATTCGAATTACTATTAAAAATATATATTAACACGCTTTACTCTCATTAAGAGATATAGAGTGTATTCATTACGATTACAAAGGATGATTTCTGTATCGTCATTTTTCGTCACTACCACAATGTTCCGGGAGTGGGTAATTTACGCGCTTGCTGCTTTCCTTGGATGTGGTAGCCGTTTCTCAGACACCCTCCCCGGAATCGAACCCTGATTTCCCGTTACCCGTTACAACCATGATATTGATAGTAACTACTATAATAACATGAAACTAAAAAGTAAAAAATAAATATAGTTTAAAAAAACTAAAAAAATACGCTTTTAAAGCACATAGAACTAAAAAGTTAAAAATAATATTTATTATATTTACTGTCCAGAGTACATCTTTCACTCTAGAAAAAAGACGATGATTTCAATGGATTTAATATTCTTAAAAAACTAATTATTATTATTTTTATATAAATTTTATTAAATTAAAAACTAATATACAGTTAGTCAGTTATGAAGGAAATATATCGAACACTTAAAGTCAAATAAAAGTTAACTCAACAAAACAAAATATATTTGGTGGAATAATCCAATCAGCATATATTTTAAATCACACATCTACTAAATATTTCAATAGTTTATGTACCTTAACACTGTTGTCTCTTATAAGTTGTATTATTCGTTTTATAACTTTTTTATCTACAAAAGCTGTTTTCCCAGATGTCAAGAGCCAACTAAGCTTAATAATGGTTGCACGATCTGCTTCATTTTTAATCAAATGATTAGTCGGAATCAAACATTCAATAGGCATCATAATGTTTGAAAGAATTCTACAATAAAACATACCTTATATTAAAAAATGTAGTGATTCTGATTGATAATTTTATGGAAATTATATTGTGGTTATTTAAGTTTAAATTAAAATTTTTATTTCAAATAATTAAATTCTACATACTTAACTAAAAGTTCCAATATTTTTTCATTTTCAACGTTAATTAAAAGAGGTATAAGATCCTATAAAAGTTAAAAAATTAATTTTAATACATACAAAAATGCAAAATTTTTTAGCTTGGATGCAAAGCTGAGAAGGTATTGGTTTTACTATGATTTTTTTTTTTTTGTGTCTGTTACCACTTTTTCATAGCTCTCACCAAACCGATTTCTTTCAACGATACGTCAAAAGATCACAAATCGTAATTAGTCGAAGACATTAACCTCAAAAATTGAAAAAAATTCCCTCGTTTCCCGTGAATGAGAAAAATCTCCAAAAAATTACAAATTTTAAAAATCACTATTTTCAAAATTTTTTCTATTTTTTTTTACTTAAATCTGCCATAACTTTTTCAAAAATTAACAAATCAATATAACTCTTTTTTAAATAAATGATTGATGTCATTACCTTCTATTTAGTATATTTTTTTTATAAATCTAACCCTTTACCTGCCCACATGGGAGGATTCAAAATAAAAACTTTTTCACAAAAAATTAACTTTATCAAATTAAGTGTTGCGGAAATACTGACACTTTCATATATACCTCAAATTAAAACCTATGTAATATAATTTATTATGGAAAAAAAATTTCGGACTTTATTTTGTTTTCACGGTGAAATTGGCTACCAAATGATATTTTTGTGTGAAAATTCTCGATTTTGTATTTTACATTTTTAACTTTATTATGCTATAACTTATTGAAAAGTGTATGGATCAATACAATTTTTTTATGAGAAAAAATATTTTTATCCCTTTTTCATTCGATATACTTTATTTTTATCAGGATTAGTTAAACATTATAATTGAATAATTAACAATGTAATACATTTTAAGTTTATCTATTTATACCTTCTAAGAGTGTCGTCAACTTTGTTTTTTTAAATGGCAACGCATATTTTGAATGTTTGTGATTTTAATTTAACAGTAAATGGCATTAGAATTTATAATATAACTTTATTAGTTTATTAGATATAAACATATAAAGTTTCAAAGTTTTGATTTAATATACATGTATAATATACAAAGGATTACAAATACGGGTAGCTAATTGGTTTTATATGACGTCTATATTCGCAGGTACACAGCATTTATTATTAATGGTAGTAAGGCACATTATTGTGAGTTTATAAATACAGATATAATTCTATGGATTTGGTATTACATCTACAATCTGAAGATGAAAAAGATATTTGTGCGTATGATTAATTTGAAAAATTCTTAATTTGTCAAAACGTAATCGAAGAATCATTAATATCTATTGATGTAATTAACTTTATAAAGAAAAGTAATGGAGCTTTTTCGAACTTAGCCATTGCTCCTAGAATTTTGTTATGAGTTCCAATAACTTAATCTAGTACAGAACGCAGAATAAATACAAAAAATTAAAATTAAGTGTTGAAAATTACGTAGTTTATGGATTTTCCATAATACGCAAATTGTAAATTTTGTAAATTCTAAAGTAGCGTTAATTTTATTTTTCCATCATCAAATTTTCACCAAACGTTTTAATTTCCCAAAGGTAAGTACAATGTAAATTTGACAAAAATTCGTTCAGTCACTTTAGTGTAATGACATGATTAAGTTAGCAATTTTCACCAAACCATGAGTGTTCAAGACCGTAAAACGATACAAAAAAAATTATAAATGGATTCAAATATAATATGGGTTAAAAGAACATAACTAAAAGTGTTTTGAAAAGAAAAAGAAAATTTTTATGTAAAAGAAAATATAAATATATATATATAAGGATAAATGATAAGAAAAAAGTTAAGTGGATTATGGAAGTTTATTCTAAGGCCATTCCAGTTAATATCAAGAATTATCCCAAATAAAAAAAATTTTTAAATTCACATAAATACATCTTCAGAGTATACATAGATTTTTCTTTTTCTAAATTAATAGTCACAGTCTCAAGGTGGACATTGAATTTGAAGTTATATAATTAGACTTTGTTTTTATAAGACTTAATTAATTTTGTGTTATATTTTCATATTATATTTTGACTTTGTGTTTTTACGTTATTTTTTTTATTTATTTATTTTAATATTTATTTATTTTATAATATACAAGACACAACATAATCAAACAAAAAAAAAAAACAAATAAATATTGTGTACGCCACAGACGGCAATGAGTACAGAATATAAATACAAAATATCTAAATAATTAAATAAGTACAGCATACATAGAAGTTTAAATTATTAACATACAAAATTAATAATTAAAATACATCGCTACAAATAGATTTTAACTTGGTTAAATGGTCATTAAAGAAATCAAAATTTTTAATTAAATTGCAAAAATGTAGCATTCTATTGACCGGTGAATAATAACTATAATTCTGACGATATGAGTTAACATAAAATAAATTATTAGATCGGAGATGAAAATTAGGAACATTAAAAGGAATTAGACTTAAAATTTCTGGACAATCTACATTATTATTAAGGAGATTATAAATCCAAAAAACATCATTGCATTTTCTCCTGTAAGCAAGGGAAGTTAAACCAAGAGAGATTCCTATTTCATCGATCGACACATTATAATCCCTAGACTTAAAAGAAATGAAGTGTAAAAAACGTCTTTGTATAGATTCTATTCTATTAATTTCACCTATTTTATATGGACACCAAATAATAGATGCATATTCTAAAATTGATCTTACCAAAGAAATGTACAAGGTTTTGATACACAAAATATTATTGAATTCATTACAATTTCTTCTCAAAAAGCCAAGTGTTCGTGAGGCTTTATTGTAAATATAATCTATATGGTTAGAAAAAGATAAATCGCTGGATAATATAACTCCTAAATCTTTAATACTATAAACATTAAGCAAATTACAACCATCAATCGTATACTAATTAATATTTACATTTTTAGAACGAGTAAATGTTATCTGATGACATTTATTTGTATTAATTACTAATCCATTTTTTTTAAACCATAAACTGAATTTATCTAAATCTTATTGTAATTTACCACAATCATTAACTGATTGAATAGTCATAAATAACTTAAGATCATCCGCAAAAAGCAGATAGTTGCAGTGTTGAAAAATTCGACATAAATCATTAATAAAAACGATAAAAAGTAAAGGAGACAAATGGCCACCTTGTGGTACACCTGAAGTAACATTAATTATATTCGAAGTAAAATTATCTATTTTGATTTGTTGATTTCTATTTTTGAGAAAGGAAGAAAGCCACGCAAGCATTGAATTACCTACACCCAAAAGTCTTAGCTTTTTTAACAAAATTGAATGATCAACTTTATTAAAAGCTTTCTTGAGATCAGTATACACAGCGTCAACGCGGCCTCCAGAGCTTATATCGGATATTAAAGTAGTGTAAAAAGTAAGAAGATTTGTTATAGTTGATTTTGATGAACGGAAGCCATGTTGATTATTAACTAAAATAGGTTGAAATGTATATGCAAGCTTAGGTAGTAATAATTTTTCAAATAACTTTGGTAAGACATTAAGCTTAGATATGGGGCGATAATTAGTTACCTCACTTCTATCACCAGATTTAAAAATAGGATATATAAAGCTAAATTTCCAAAGATCTGGAAAACAACCAGATGATAAAGAAAGGGAATAAAGGAAGTGAATCGGCCGGGCAAGAGCACAACGACAATTATTAAGAAATATTTCAGAAATTAAATCAGGTCCAGTTGAAGTGCTATTTTTAAGATGAGAAAGACCTTCATAAATATCTGATAAAGATAAATCACACTTGGAAAAATCAATTTTATCACCTTCGTAACTATCTAAAGACAACGGATCAGTATTATGTGCTGAAAATACTGAACCAAAATATTTACCAAAAATATTAGCAATGTCTCTCATATTATCAAAGCGCGAATTCTCGTACTTCATTACATTAGGTAGTCGGTTTACATTTTTACAATTCTTTATATACTTCCAAAAGTATTCAGGATTATTTATTAAACTGTTTTGAACTTTATTTAAATAATCAGAATAGCATTGCTTAGATAAAAATTTACAAGTTGCACGGGTAGATGAAAATTCATTATAGATTGACTGTAATCCATATTTTTTAAATTTTTTATGCAAATATTCTTTTTTGTGTATAAGGGACTTTAATTCTTTTGAAAACCATAGTGGAAAAGAAGATTTATAAGAGTATATTTTAGGCACATTAGCATCTAACACTCTAGAGATTATTTCATAAAACTTACTTAATGCTGAGTTAATTTCATTTTAATTATAAAGACAAGACCAATCTACATCATTTAATAAATTAACTAATAAAGGAAAATTAGCATGGTTAAAGTCATAATACCATGTATTATTCTTATATCTTGAATTATAACTATCATAATTGTATACATTACTAATTAATAATGATGGATGATACCTATCGGGAGAAACTAAATTATCATTAGACCTAGATACCAGAGTTGAATTATTATTAACAAAAACTAAATCTAAAGAATTATTAAATAAATAATTATATAAATAAAATAATTATTTAAAAACCTGTACTCCTAAAAACATGTATATTAAAATTTGAGTGTATGCGTCAAGAGTCGAGGTTGGACTACGGGTCCTTTAGTCAATCATAAGAATTAGTGTACGTGCTAGCTAGTTTTTGGGATTAACCGTCCTTTAGTAGATATAGTAAAAAGTTGTGTTGGTGGCTGACAAAGAGCCACCCCTCAGTCTGATACTTTTGAGCTAGATCGTGCTGACGGGTCTAAACTCTAACTCTTTAATAGTTCAATAATTAGAGGGATTGAGGCTGACCAGCGTATCCAACGGGAGGACTCGAGAAAAGCTAAATAGGACTAACTTGTCGTCTAAAAATGTTATTTAATTTGTGCATTACTTTTGTGTCTACGTTGGGGCACTACCGACGTACGACACTGGATATTATTATTAAACAACTGAAAATTAGAATAAAGTGAAGGGGAAACATGAGCATGACAGATCCGTCGCATGTGTCTAGGTATAGTGGACATGCCATCAACGTCATAAATGTAGAGGATCCAATGAGATGTTCACACCATGTCCACCCTGACCGCACCCAAGGATACTGTCAGCTCATGGAACAAAGGAACAAAGAAATAACAGAGTTATATGAAATTAACCATTTTACAAAATATAACCGTAGTCAACATTTATATAATCATTAATTAAAATAAAAAATGTGTCAACATGGTCAAATAACCAAAAGAAATAAAGATCATTTAAAAAAAAGCTGCGCACAGCAACAGAAACAAAAAGAGAAAACGGGGGGGGGGGGATTAAGTTATAGATTTTTAAGAGTTATAACAAGTTTAAAATAAATAAAAAATGGTGAAGGGGAAATTACATATAAACGAACTCCTCCAAACATTTTATTGATATGCACCAATGCACCTCGTAACATTTACATAAAGGAATTATATATTTTGTATTCAAACTTTATTAGTGTTTAAAACTGACAATTTTCTCATTAGCAGAAACATAAACACTTGATAGACCAAAATAAATATTTTATCTTTATTTGTTGGTCGTATTTTTAGAGTTCGTTCTTTTAAATTAAAAAGTACTTAAAATCTTGTTTTGACAAAAATAACCTTTACTCTTTTTGCGAGCAACATATTTAAGTGAATATGAAATTTTTTCAATTTTTGAGGGTAATTTCTTCGACTAGATACGATTTCTGATCTGTTTACGTATTGTTGAAAGAAATCGGTTCGGGTAGAGCTGAGAAAAAGTGGTAACAGGCACAAAAAAAAACATATCATAATAACATTAATATATTCTCAGCTTTCATCGAAGCTAAAAATGCACTATCTGATAAAAAAAAATATAATTTTTTTTTGTTGTCAATGATTTTTAAAGTCTATGATAAAAATTTCTGAACTATAACAGCACACACATAAAGTGATTTCACATGGAAAGACCCAGTTTAGTTTCTATCATCATATTCTAAAATTGTTTATGTGTAAGTTCGAAATTTATACATGTACATTTTTACATTTTACAAGCGTAAAACATTATGTTAATCATATCTGTAGTCTTGGTTTTAACAACTACGATTAATAGAGTTTTTACTGAAATTTCTTATATTAGGAGTTCAGTCAGTAAGGAAATCAGATTCTATTTTTGTCGTTGTTTATAACAATTTCCTTGTTTCCTTTCTTATTAAATACTGTATAATTAATTCTATAATTTAAGATTTTTTTGATAATGTATATATATATTGTTAAAAATAACAGTGTTAAAGAATGAACTACGATCCCAGATAGTGGCTAAGTGAAATGATGGACTATTTAAAATTTAACCCATTCTAGTGAAATCTGAAACGATACCTCTGTCTTCTCAGATCATGATAATGGATGTTCAAGAATAGAAGATAATATGCAACAGTTAAAATTTACCATATACTTCATTTTGTAATACTAACTTTTTGAACTAGTTGAGAAAATCCAATCGTCATACGAAAACTTCTCTGACAAGGGTCCTCTGAAATCAATTGTTCGTGTATTTGCAAAAGAATGGCTAAAACAAATGATCAGTGTTAAAAATGTATATTTCAAATTTATTTGTGACGCATCACGACTGTTTAAAATAGGAAAAATTGTTGTTTCCAATATTTCCTATTCATTTTATATACATATACATTGTATATGGAAAGTATTTCAAGTAGATTGATTCAATATTAATAATTAATATTTAATTAATCAATCAAAAATGTCATAATTAATATAATGTATTGAACTTTTCATAATATGAGTTGATTGTTTTTTATTTAATCTCGCCATATTTAAAATTCAAGAACTGGACATTGTTTTCAAATTACATTAATTTTAAAATGTACATGTTTTAATAAATATTACTTACAATAACATTTATTCGACGGTATGTAATCATTTCCCACAAACATTCCTAACTGTGCAAACATGTTTTGTACATGAGGATTTCCCAGGTATCTAGTCATATCCATATTTTACTCATTCAGTACTCGAACACAATCTTAAATAGTTTACTGTTAGTACATTTTTTTATAAATTTCTTTTAATTGAATGAACTATTGTTTGTTAAATTGTAATTTTTCATCAATTCTTTAATTGAAAAGTATGTGTATTCAATTAAATAAATTAACTTAATTTATAAAAGTTACGTAAGAAAGACACAATAAAAGCAAAAGAAATGGAATTGCTAAATATTACATAAGAAATTTTTCTCAGTACATTCACTTCATAAAATGTTTTTCAAGCTCCAACAAGTAAAATATTACGTAAACGTTTGTTAAACCCTTTATAAATCAATTTAGGTTATCCAAGAATTGAAAATAACGATTGATTTGATTAAAATATTTATTTCATGTAATAACTTGTCAACTTACAATAGAAAGTTTAAAAAAGTAACTTAAAAACAACAAACAAATTTAAGTTAAAAGTAAGAAATAAATTATTAGTCTATTACAAGCATACAAATTATTTTTACTTTTTAATTTTACCTAATAAAATGTTGAAATTGCGACAATAATTGTTTCGACTCAACAACAATAATTCATTATTATTTTAGCAATATTGATTTAAGCCAGGCCAGACGAATTTATCCTTTCTCTGAATTAGAAAAAATCTTATCTTTTCAAGGACTTTTGTGCTCTCTTTACTTAGCTATTACTTTTGCATACGAAGCATAGACGCACACTGAAAGTGGCTTAACTCCGCAACATTTTAATTATCCTTAATTGAAATATTATTTTTTAGATTATAAATAAACTCTACTTGTCAATTAACATATTTTTATTTTAAAAATGTATGTGGAAAGTTCATGTATGATACCAACGATTTAAAAAAAAAAATGCTTATTATTTACATTAAGAATAAAGTTATATAATTTAATATATAACTTTTTAATTTATTTTAATAATAAAAATATATATTAGTGAACTACTTGTACCAGAATCGATTTAAAAATCCTAAATAGCTAAACGTAACAGAATTCAATCTCGGTACTTATACCCTGATGACACATTTAAGACTGAGTTCGGTAGCAAAATCAAACAGTTTAGCAAAAGTATTTTATTTTTATTTAAATTTTTAAAATCAACATCTTTATTTATTTTGATAATAATATTACAAATCGATTTATTCAAATTACTTAATTTTGATTTAAATTTCGATTTTTTGTCGATATCAAAAACAATTTAAAACCTTGAAAAATTATAAGAGATTACAGTTAGATCCCGTTCATCCTATAAAAATAATTTTAATAAATCACAGAAAGTTAATCTTCAGTATTTATTAAATTTAATTTGAAGTAGAAAACGACTTCAAATAACACAATGTGTTGTAATTAATAAATTCCACATTTAACTTCATAATTTGATTTTAAACCAAATTTTATAATTTGGAAAGTTTCTTTTTATACAGTAAAAAATATATACTTCAATAAACATTATATAATTAGTTATAGTTAAGCTAGGGGTCAGATAAAAAAATTGTTTTTAGTTAAGCGTTTAAATATACTATACTGTTATCTTAGAATTAATTTTAACGTTATTCATTAATTAACATTATTCAATTTTTATGTTTAATGTTAAAAAGGTTTGAAACATCTAGAAGTAATTTTTATATGGGCCTATTAATTTGAACATTTAAAGTTCCTTTGACAAAAATTTTAAATAATGTTTAATTTCTTTCTATTTTCGAGTTTACTAACAATTATTGTCATAGCGGTTATACCATTATAACATAGTTTTGTTATTATACTTTTAGCTATTTGTTTATAATTGTTAAGCTATTTGTTATTTTAATAAAGGTTTTAAAATACACATAAGGGCAAATGAAAATATTTTTCTTGTTTAGAATTTTTTAAATATAGTGTTTGAAAAAAAATTATTTGCATTATAAGTTTTATTATGTTTTGACAATTTTTTTGTTTTTAACGTTATAAAATTATTCATACAATTATCTCGTCCTGAGTTAAACATTTAGTCTGTATATATTAACTAAAATTCATCATTTCTAATTAAATTAACGATCAAAAGAGTGAATTTTGAAAATATCAATAATAATGTATAATATTTTAGCAATGAAAAAATCAGTACTTTAAAATTAATTCATTATTATGAAATAAACACCCAAAATTAATATACAAACGGAAAATATAATATTTTAGTTCATAATTTTATATTTCTTCTACATTTTTTTCCTCGCCTTAATTCCATTACTTGGGGTCGGCCACTTTTATATACACGTCCTCATATCGCATTCATCATAATTTTATATTTAAAAAAAACTTAAATTATTGTTATTTACCGCGTTTTACCTGGATTAATCAAAATATTAATGTTTTATGACATCTAATTATAATTTACATTGTTTGTACATTTGATTTACTAAGAAAAATAAGTCTATTTACCAAATTGTAATTAGTAGCTTGATTCAATGATTTTTGCAACACATTCAATTTCGATTATTACTATTACAATATCTTTTGTTGTGTATATCAGATAAATCGGTTAAGTATTATAATAAAATCAGTTTTTCTTCAATCGTTGTCGACGTTTTACTGAGGAGTTTTTTTTTATTGTAGATTGCCGGCTTTAAAACATCACGTTTTCTTACAACGTGACAAATTGAAGGCTCACGCGCAATTCTACTGTTTCTGGATAAAATACTAAAGATAATAATGTTTAACAATTTGTATTTACATAACTAGATGAATAATACATTAACTTTTATATTATTTTTTATATTGTATAACTTTTTGAGGGATTCTATATATTTTTAGAAGTTTTGCAAAACTATTTAGTAATAAAAAAATGCTATGTTATAAAAATTATTATAGTATAAATATTTACAATTAAGATAAGTCACTTATTTTACAAGATTTGTACAGTTATATCAATATATTAAAATTAATTTTATATTTATTATTTTTCAGAATCAATTTGAGTCTGTTTTAAACAAATCCACAATGATTGATTCAATTGTTGGCAAAGTATCAAAGTCATCTAATCGAAAATTAAAATTTTTACTACAAATTACTTTTTAAATCATCATTATTTTAGAAATTACCTAGATCCATAAAGTCATCCCAAGGTTGATGAGTGTAATTACAAGATGTTCCACTTAGTGGTTCAATTCTAAAAACATGACATACAATGATTTTAAAATTAAATAAATTGATAGGAAATATATATATTTAATAACAATTAGACAATCAGAATTTTTTTCAAGATAGAGTGGGATTAATATTATTTTATAATTATATAATGATGATTTTTATTTTACTAATCAAAAGAATTTATCTTAGAATTGCTTTTTTTTAAATTTTAAATAAATAAAAGATCATTTGATAAATTTATTGGCTCTATCACTAAAAAAAATCATATACGATTTAAATGTTATAACATTGCTTTCCATTTCGGAGAGGTTTACAATTCTCTATCACCTTGCCATGGTTGCACCATTAAGTGATAATTACAAAATAGTGTCTTAGTATATTTTTGCTGAAAAGAGCCTACATAACTTATAATAAATAATATCCGTAACCGTCCTAAAAGCAAATAAAATGAAAGGAGTGAATAATTTTCTTTACCAATTTTTTTTAGATGAATCATTGTTTTATGTTATTATTTTTTTTTTGCAACAACAGCAGTAACTAATTACATCAAAAAATTGCCAACTAAAACAGTTAAATATTAATAGTTTTAATAGTTTTAATAGTAGTATATGGAATAATCACTCCTAAAACCCCTGACAATAAAATTAAATAAAATTGCTTTTTCCAACTATTATAGCTTTGACGTGAAGCTGAGAAGGTACTATGTTCTTCTTTTTTCTTTATAGCCACTTTTTCATAGATTTCACTTGACTGTTCTTTTTTTCAATAACACATTCAAAAATTATAAAATGTACTAGACGAAAACATTATCTCACAAAATTGAAAAAGAAATCCCTCGCTCGACGTAAATAGTTCATTAGCTTTGATGCGAAGCTAAGAAGGTATTAGTTTTACTATGTGTTTTTTTTTTTTTGTGTCTGTTACCACTTTTTCTCAGCTCTCNGTTTTTTTTTTTTTTTTGTGTCTGTTACCACTTTTTCTCAGCTCTCACCGAACCGATTTCTTTCAACAATACTTCAAAAGATCACAAATCGTATCTAGTCGACGACATTACACTCAAAAATTGAAAAAATTCCCTCGTTCCCCGTAAATGGGGTAAATCTCCAGAAAAATTATAAATTTAGAAATCGCTAATTTTCAATTTATTTTACTTAAAATTGCCATAACTTTTTTTTTGAGACCAAATCGATATAATTTTTTTTTTATAGATGCATGATGTCTTTACCTTTCATTTGATATATTTATTTCATAAATCTGACCCTTTACTCAGGGGGATTAAATATGACATCATTTCACAAAAAATTAACTTTTGAAAGTGTTTCGGAAAGACTGACACTTTTATATAGATCTTAAATTAAAGCTAATATAATGTACTTTATTATGGAAAAAAAAAATTTCGGACTTTATTTTGTTTTCACGGTCAAATTGGCTACCAAATGATATTTTTGTGTGAAAATTCTCGATTTTGTATTTTACATTTTTAACTTTATTATGCTATAACTTTTTTAAAAAAAGATTGATCAATACAATTTTTTCGTGAGAAGTAGTATTTATATACATCTTTCATTCGATATACTTTTTTTTTTAAATCTGACCATTTCCCTATATAAGGGGGGAGGGGGTCAAACTTTTTCAACTTAACTTTTGAAAGTGTTCCGGAATGTCTGACACTTTTATATATACAGTAGTAAATAGCCGAATAACGTCGATTTTAGTATAATACGGGGTTTAAAACAATAGTAAGCAATTTTTAAATTCTCAAGCAATACAGTGGTGTCATATAGAAGGGAAATGCAGGGTAAGCAAATTAATAATTGTGGGAAAAAGAATATAAAGGGAAACATGAAAAGGATAGAGGAGTGGACGTTTTTGTCGAAGAAACATCAAGTTACGTGTACGCGAGTGTCTTTGTACGATTTAATTTTGTTTTGTGTTACATTTTTGATATTACTTTTTGACTTTGTGTTTGATACGTTTCTTAAATAAAATAGTTATTTTAAAACCTGGACTTAGAGCAAATATTTTATATTCACCGTGTTGTGTGTGTGTGTGCGGCTAGAGTCAAGGTTGGACTACTGGTCCTTTAGTCAATCTTAATAATTAGCGTACGAGCTAGCTAGTTTTTGGGCTTAACCGTCCTTTAGTGGGTATAGTAAAAAGGTAGTTGTGCTGGTGGCTGACACCCTTCAGTCTGCTACTTTTGAGCTAGACTGTGCTGACGGGTCTAAACTCTATCCCTTTAGTAGTCCACTAATTAGAGAGATTGGGGCTGATCAGTTTATCCAACGGGAGGACTCGAGAAGAACTCCAACGACGAACTCGTCGTCAATATACAGGGTGATTTTATTATCATAACCCACTCAATTACTTACAGAATAATAATAATTTAAACATTTTTTTTTATTATTATCTTTAGTTACACATTATTCTTAAATTATTAACTATGTAATACTTTTTAAGTTCATCCCTTATGCCTGGTAAGGGTGTCAATTTTGTTTTTTTTAAATGGTAACTCATATTTTTAATTTAATAAAATGTTTGAGTTTTTAATTCAATAGTAAATGACATTTGAATTTTTAATAAAACTTAATTTGTTTATTAGATATAAACATTTAAAGTTTCAAATGTTTAAGTTAATATACAGAGTGTTCAGTAAGTCAGGAAACGGGTATCTATTGTTCTCATTATTACAAACAATGAGAACAATAGAAACCCGTTTCCTGACTTACTGAACACCCTGTATAGGTATAATACACAAGGGATTACAAATACAGGTACACAGCATTGTTATATCAATGATAGTAAGGTACATTGTTGTGAGTTTATAAATACACTAACTGACAATACAAAAAGTATATCTATTGATAGTCATAATTGATAATAAACAATCCGTTACTGTGATAGCAATGTCATAAAAAACCAATTAGCTACCTGTTACAAGGTACAAGGTGGCCCATAATAACCTTTCACATTTTGTTTATAAATAACTTTTGTTCAAAAAAAGGTAGGATAACGGTAAATCCAGTTCCAGATAGCTAGACGATGCCTAATTATGTTTCATTGCGATTTTATCCTAATGGAGCAGTGGACGGGTGCTCATCATGTGTTTATCGTAAAAGCTTATTATAAGAATAATGACTCTTACGTGAGTGCAATTCGTGAGTTACGTAAAATTTTTAATCTTGACCGAAAAAGTGCAGTTCCATCGCGCCTAAACAGTGAATTTATGGATAAAAAAACTTTGAGGAAAGTGGTGATGCGTTTAAAAAAACATCGAGTGGTCGAAAAGTTTCCATATGAACTCCAGAAATGGTGGAAGAAGTGAGAAAAAAAAAACACATCATAGTAAAATTAATACCTTCTCAGTTTCGCATCGAAGCTAAAATTATATATTGATTTGGTCTTTTTTAAAAAAGTTATGACAGTTTTAAGTAAAAAAAAAAAAATTGAAAAAATGTCAAAAATTAGCGATTTTTAAATTTGTAATTTTTTTTGAAATTTTCTCCATTTACGGGGAACGAGGGAAATTTTTTCAATTTTTGTGAGTAATATCTTCGATTAGATACGATTTGTGATCTGTTTACGTGTCGTTGAAAGATATCGTTTCGGGTAAGAAAGCTAAATAATTAAAATAATAAATTATATGAAAACAAAAAACGGTGATTTTTATACAAAAATAACATTTTTTGTTTAACTTAGGTGGATTAAATATCAAATAGAAGATAAGTCGTTTTTTTTTTAACTTTTAATACTCAACATAAGCGTTAATGTAATATATGTTTAAGGCGTGAAGTTTTATGGAACTCTTCTCAAGTCACTCTACCAAACTATTCTCTGCTCAACTTGTCAACCGCTCAATACTCGGGACCATACATCACAGCTGGTCTCACTACAGTCATATATATATATTTTATATCTAATTACTAACATTACTGTGAGTCCGTGGTGTTGGCCAAGTTGTTTATTAACTGTTCTTTGTTGGTAATATACTTCGGTGAAAACGCCTCTTCATTGAACTTTTCACAATTATAATGATAACGAATATTTATATGTTTAGTTCGTTTATGAAATTTTGAATTCTTCACTAACTTTTATAGAACTTTGATTATCCACATACAGGTGTGTATACAAAACAGGTGTCTCTCCCTATTTTTACAGAAGAATACTTGAAGTAGCATCAATCATGTTAGTTCCTATACCACCTGACTCACTCTGAACCATACATCATAACTGGTTTCACTACAGTCATACAGAATTTACCTTTCAGCCTCATTTGAATATTTTTATCACATAAACACTTTTTTAAACCTTTTTCTTCAATAGCTGATCTCCATACACCTCTAGCCTTTGATTAATTTTCTCCTACACTACATCGTCAGTGAATAACATGCAACACGACTTCTCTCTTTGTATTTTTCTAGTAATTTCTTAGTAAAAGCAAAACCTTGGTGCACTTCTACTCTTATCCTAAAATCTTCTGTTACTCCTCTCACACTTTTTACCCTGGTACAAGTGCCATCATACATATTCTCTATTACATAAATGTACCTTTTCGGGATTCCTTTTCTCATTAATACCCACTTTAAAACCTCTCTCGGTACTCTATCATATACTTTCTCCCAAAAATAAATACCATACACAGCTTTTTCTTCTTTTCCCTATATTTTTCTATTAGTTATCTCACATAAAATAATGGCTCCATTGTTGACTTCTCAGGAATAAATCTAAACTGGTTTTTAGAAACTGATGTCTTATTTGTTATTCTCTTATTTATTACCTTTTCTTAAATTTTCATACTATAACTCGTAAGTTTTATGCCTCTTCGCTTATAACTACATTATTTTTACTCATCTGTTTTTCCAACGTACATCCGAGATGGGACAATACGCCTATGTTATGTTCAGGACTCCTCATACTTTTTGACAAAATTTTACGTCAGCTGTCAAACTGTCGCAACTTCATTAGTCGTCTCTTACGACTTGCAGAGAGTCCATAACTATTGTTATCCCCTAACCACAGGTACTGAAGTTTCATGAAACATTTTCAATAATATGTTGAAATAGTTCATTTTTCGTAGAAAATTTTTATTTGAATCTCGCCCTTAGCAGGTAAAGGGTCCAATTTTCAAAAAAAAAAAATATCCCTAATGAAAGAGAAATACCTAAAAAATAATTGTTTTGTTTCATTAATTTTTCAAAAAGTTTAGAATTTTATAAAAAAAAATGTTCAAATTTAACAATAAAAAAATTGAAATTTTTTTGAGATTTCCCTTTATTTACAGGGACTAGGGAGTTTTTTTAAGTTATAAGATTTTTAAGAGTTATAACAGTATTAAAATAAATAAAAAATGGTGAAGGGGAAATTACATATAAACGAACTCCTCCAAACATTTTATTGATATGCACCAATGCACCTCGTAACATTTACATAAAGGAATTATATATTTTGTATTCAAACTTTATTAGTGTTTAAAACTGACAATTTTCTCATTAGCAGAAACATAAACACTTGATAGACCAAAATAAATATTTTATCTTTATTTGTTGGTCGTATTTTTAGAGTTCGTTCTTTTAAATTAAAAAGTACTTAAAATCTTGTTTTGACAAAAATAACCTTTACTCTTTTTGCGAGCAACATATTTAAGTGAATATGAAATTTTTTCAATTTTTGAGGGTAATGTCTTCGACTAGATACGATTTCTGATCTGTTTACGTATTGTTGAAAGAAATCGGTTCGGGTAGAGCTGAGAAAAAGTGGTAACAGGCACAAAAAAAAACATATCATAATAACATATAACATAATATATTCTCAGCTTTCATCGAAGCTAAAAATGCACTATCTGATAAAAAAAAATATAATTTTTTTTTGTTGTCAATGATTTTTAAAGTCTATGATAAAAATTTCTGAACTATAACAGCACACACATAAAGTGATTTCACATGGAAAGACCCAGTTTAGTTTCTATCATCATATTCTAAAATTGTTTATGTGTAAGTTCGAAATTTATACATGTACATTTTTACATTTTACAAATTTTAGTAAAAATTACATTTCTTGTATGTTTTGAAGAAGTAGTCACAAATATTTGTATTTATGAAATAAAATAGAATCAAAATCATTTTTTTTAATTATTATAATTAATAATTTATTATTATTCGTATTGAAGCTCAAAGTGAAATCTACTTACCTAATTTGATTAATAATGTGTTCATTCTGAGACTTAGGAACTTTTAATAAAGGAATATGTAAGATAGCTGATTTTGACATATTTTTATATTTTTCAATATGATCATATTTCTTAATTGTTCTTTTTCTAGTAAAAAACATTTTTTTACTTGTAGTAATATTTTTAATTTGTTCACAGTCTTGTATATTGCAAAAAGTTTTTAAATGTATCCATGTTCTTTCACGTGTCTGTAATAATTGTCAATTATTATAAAAGAAGTTTTAGTATTATCATAATACTACGACAGCACTATAATAAATGAGAATTAAAGACACTATAAACACGTGCTTATAGCAAAATTAATTTTTATATTGGTTGTACTTAATAGATATAAAATTTGTAATATTTATTATAATGACAAGTAAAGAAATTTCTATAAATAATATAAAAATGTAAATAACTTCTGAAGTATTGATCCAAAAGTTGTTACCGACCAGTCATTTTCTTAATTACATTATTATTTATTAAGTAAGCTAATAAATTATGCATGTTGCCATTTGAAAAAATAAAATTAACACTCCTATAAGTTATAAGGGATGAAATTAAAGAATAACTAATAGCTGGTAAAGTAATTAATTAATACTTAACTAAAAAAAGCAAAAAAATTTTTCTTCAATATTTTATTTATTTTAAGAGTAATCGAGTGGATTATGATAAACCGATAATCTGTTTAACTTATTTAAGATAATAATGATAATGACTGTTTTTATAGCATGTTAAATCTTTTATACTATAACACTAAAAACGTCAAAGACAATACACTTATCACCACCTTCTAAATACCTCTATAACTAAGGAGAATTAATATATATATTAATTGAAACTATAGAATATAGCCCCCCATATCACCGAAATCAATAATGATTCTTGGATTTCAATCGTGATTAAATTATTTTGAAAACTATCGAATCAATAAACTATCTAATTATGCAACTATATTTTAAGTATAATATGTAATATTATCTATAATATATGATTTTTCGTTAGATATGAACAAATTAAAATTATTTGCGAAGATATTGTGTTATCTTCACCAATAAAATTTAAAATTATATCAATTTTCTGTATTATGTTTTTAAATTCAGTCAAATCAAAAGCGTGTTAAAATACAAAATGTAGCAAGCCTATGTCCGTATTTAGAGAAATTATCATTAATAGTTACATAACATTTTGCCGCCTTGAATAATTCTTAATACTCATCACTCTTCAAAATTTTATAATGAAAAAAAAGAAAAATCTAAACTACCACCGGAATAATGTCTCTATCAGACACTCTATAAATACAATGCCTAAACGATTCCAAAAGTGTGCCCAAAGTTATTATATAAATTATTATATTAATAATACTATTTATCGTCATATTAGAATGTATAAATCATTAAACATGCTTCTAGAAACATACCAAAATTATTAAAAATAGTTCTTAAAATATTTTTAAAATTACCTGAATGCCGTAAAATGTCTTCACGTCAATAGATTTCGAAGTCATTGTTAATATTTTCACTGCATTTAAACTAGACAGTTTGAGCTCATGAGAATTGGTAAAATATAATAAATTAAGGCGAAACCGCGGTCATATATGAGACCACAGAACTAATTAATTAGAACTATTCAGTGATTAAACTAGTAAATGATTTTTCTATATTGTGATTAAGTTACTATAAAGGATGTTCGGCCATCAATCAGTATGACCAGTATAACATTTCTTTAATAGTTTAAAAAAATAAAATATTTTAATGCTGTTTGTTTAGTAAATAAACACTAAATTTATAGTGTTTGAATTAAATAAATAAAGCACAATAAAATGTATAGCGATAAAATTACAACAAATAAAATAATATAATTCTTGATGATTAATTATGATTAAGAATTTCCTATACAATTTCATTAACATAAGTTTTCAATGAATCTAATTATTGAGGAACCAGCATGGCCATGATTAATTTAGGCTCACAAATTTCATTAAAAATTAAAGTATAATTCACAATCTAGAGTAATTAGATAACTCGTTATAGACTATTTAAAAATAGTTTTATTTTATTCATATGAAAATAATACTAATTACTCTTTAACATGATGAATTATTTTCGCAAGTATTTCTTTTATAATATTGTTATTTTTAACTTTAATTTTCTCCAGTGTGATTTCAATTTACATATAAAAATCTATTACACATAAATATTACTTTGTTACCTACTCCTCTCCCCTATACTTAAAAATTACTAATAACTATTAAAGTATTATTACAAAACTAGTCATCAAGCCAATTATAAAAATAATTATATGTACTCATTTCAATTTTGAAATTTACCTCTAAAACTATTTGGTGTTAAATATAAAACCTGACAAATTATATAGCCACATAACTGATATTATTACTGTTTTAAGTAACTGATGCAAAACTATAAAAACATTAAAAAAAAAAACTATCAATATTTAATTAGTAATAATATTTTATAATTGAAAATAACAAAGGTTATAGACAAAAATATATAATTGCAACATTCAAAACATGATACAAAAAATATTTTTTTAAATATATACCATATTAGTAGCTTAGAATAATTATGGATATTTCTAGCATATAATTTCTAGATTGAAAAACATTTCAAAGATTATTATACTATAGTGTAATCACACTTATATCTTATTAAATAATACTGCATATTTAAAATGAAAAATCATATTATTTACAACATAATTTCCAAAAGTTTAATAACATAACAATAAAAAAATCAAATACGAGTTCAATAATATATACTATTATAAAGTAAAATAAATTCATTATCTATGTTTATGTATACAATAAATAGCATAAATATTTGCATGTAGGATGTATTTATATTAATACATTTTTTAATAATAAATAAGTTAACAACAATTTAAACTTAAATGAAAAGTTAATATAATTGTTAGATTATTGCAATACATTATTACACATTTTAAATATATGAGAAAACAAAATTAAATACAAAAATTAATTACAAGAAGGAAAAATTTAATAATTTCAGTGAAAATATTTGAAAATCATTCGATAAATGTAATTAAAAAAATATATAACATAATTTAGCTAAATAAACAATTAAAGTGGTATTAATTGGTAATGGAATGCATTCAAGTAATTGAAAAATGTATAATTTAATGAAACATTTATTCACATTTACTTTTCACAGTAACCATTATTTGGTTTGTTTGTTGAATTAAATATAAGGCACTAATAAATACTGCATTGGCACTGAAAAATAAAATTTATATAAAAATATGAATATCTAAAGGTTTAGGCTTACGTTATTTTTTTAAAACAACTAGTTATAAATAGATATTAAAAGTACAGTCATTTTTCAACAAAGACAGTAGACATTAGCAATAATAACTTACTCTTTGAACATGTCTTTTTTACATTATTAGATGCAAAATTTAACAATTAATGTTTAAATTGGTGCCATTATAATTGTGGATGAAAAGCTACGGGACAAGGGCACAATATCTTTTTGAGCACTCTTATGATACTACAATTTAATTATAACAACCTCTAAAATTTTAAATTTATATTCCTTTCTTTTCTTTTTCAACTTTTAGGCTATTAAAAGACTTTTATTTAATGTATACTTTATAGTTTAATGTACATTTAAGTTTAGATTTTAAATAAATAACTTACTGTCCTTCTTTGAAGTAATCTTTAAGTGTATTACTAAAACGTTTTGAATACTTAACAAATTCACGTTTTCGCTGTTCTAATACTTGTTTATTACTGGGTCCAGGTATATATGCAGATACTTCATTTACTGCATCAAGTAATTTTTTTATTGCACTAGCTATCTCCCTATGATTAAAATTAATTCAATAATAATTCACTAAATTATACAAAAAAAAAATATTTTTGTAATTTTTCTTACTTTAACGCACAACGCCTACTGTTGCCAGTATATCTTAGAAATTATTTTATTTCTTTTTAGATTTTATAAGTATGTATAGATATTGAAAAATAATAAAATTAATCTAGGTACTAATAAAAAATCTAGATACATAATAGAATAGTATTCGAAGACAGTTTAGCATAAATATAAATAATTTTTTTCTTCAATTTAATAATATTCAAATAAGAATTATATATATATTTTTTTAATAAAACTATTGGAAGGTATCTTGAGATACACTTTCCTATGGAAAATATTGCTACTATAAAAATTTTGAGCAAAAAAAAAAAAAAATAGAAAAATATAAGTCTATATCTTCTACGTAATACTACGTAAATGAGTACTGAGAATTAATTTGTCAAAAATTGGCCATATTTTAAATGATACAAATAAAAGAGCAATGGTGCTTATGAAAGTAGAATTGAAGTATATGAACTAAAGAAAGAGCAAACTAGCTACAAGTAGATTCATACTTCGATAGGCGAAATTTTTAGGAAGAGATAGAGATTGAAACTTGACCATTTTTCATAGTTAGATTTTGGTTGAAGATATCATTCCATTTTGCTGGTTCAAGCTAGCAAAGTTCTCAATTTCCATAACCCACTTTAATATTAAAATGAGCGACTGTCCATTCTGCTGCTCTTTAAGACCATTTATTTTGAGAAAGTAACAATTTTTAGAATTTCTTCTTTATTTACACTTAACGACTCACCTTTATGCCAAGTTTCAATTTCTATATATATAGGAAGTGTCTTATAATTTAGATGATTACTCAGTCATCCAGTCAGTAACAAAAATGAAAACTTTAAAATTAGTTTATTTGAAATAGCTTAACATTAAGGACAACATTTTTAGCACTCTAAGCTATTAGAGCCTAATATATGTTTAAATTTTTAAAAGCCTATCTTAAAAGAAAATAGACAGAGGTAATAATAATACTAGTAAGGACCCAGAACCTACTAGTTTCAAGATAATAATAAGCAAGTTACCTTGAAGGCACTTATTATTGCGAGTTTTAGTTTTAACGTTCACATACATGTATTAAGGCATGTCCCCATTGGGTCCCTTGTCCGCATGTGTGTTATAACAAGTAGGATAGTAGTTATGTGAATAACCATCAGGGAAATCTCATCTTACATCACCTACGTTCAATTCCATAGGCAAATGGTCTGTCACAGTAGAGACTATAACGAACGTGAACATATTGCCACCGACAAATCAAGGTCCAACAACAAGACGGGGACCACCACGCCATACCAACTATGGGTTTTACATCAGTAAACATCAGATATCTGGAGCAGAAAAACGTTCCACGCACCATACTCATTATCAAGCCAAACTAATATTATTATGTAAATATTCATATATATGTAAATGGTATTTTTGTATATATGTTTTTTATTATTTAATTGAATATAATTTATTAATGAGTTATAATAAAGTACTTTTATAAGCTATAAGGGGTTGGGTTTCTATACAACTAGCTAAAAAAAAAAATTAATCAAATGAAGCATGATAGTAAAGTTATCCTACAAGTATTTTTTAAGTTTATATAATTAAATTTTATTAATTATTTAATGATTTTCTTAAGCTAAGAATTCAAAAAATCATAACTCATGATTTATGAACTTATACATTACTTTTAAACTAAAAGTGCATACTTAATAGTTTCCAAAAATGTTTTTCTATCATTTATTTCATCTGGAATACGACTTAAAATTTTTTTTAAAGACATTGACTTCTTATTTAACTCTTGGAAAGCTTCTTCAGATCGATTTAATCGATATTCACCACCTAAAGAGAGGAATACTACTGTATTTATAAAATGATATATTTATATTTAGTCAATAGATTATGCATTCTCATCATTTAATAAAAAGTAATTTCAAATCAAATATCAGTTAAGATCATAGGTTAGCAATAATCAACTCAAAAGCCAAATGGCTTTTTTTTTGGAAAAAAAAATAACTCTCCAAAAATACTTTATTTTCAACTTACTCTTTTCATTTATTTAAAATAATCAGCTCACCAAATGAATTGCTAAAAGATAGCATACGAATCAATACATGATTCGCATTAAGTTGGTTTTAATTGATTCATTAAGCATAAGATACTTATAATACTTGGAATCTATTGAGAATGTCAAAGATTTATAAAGGATGATATAATAGAAAAAAAAAAATTCAAACAATTTAGTTTATGTAATATTTTTAATCCATTGAACTCATCTTTTGTTAATGCTTGTTATAGTTTAATGTTTTTTGACCAATTTTATATTGATAATTTGTTATTAATCATATAGTAGCCAATATTTCTTTATGCTAAAACATTTTTACCTTATTATACCATCAAACTGAAAATAGGGGTCCTCATTAAAAAAAATTAATGTTTAGGTTTTTTAACACTGAAGGGATGAAAAAAAAATTACTTAACTACAGATTATTGAATGGTTTATTAACTCCAACATCTATTACCAGAAATATTATTTGAATTTTTTAGATAGTTTCCAAGAAAATGAGTGTCTTATTCTTAATTAAATGTCCTGCATAGTACATAATATATATTATTTACAATAATCAATAAAAAATAGAAGAAACTTGATTAAAATAGTAAAAATGACTAGTTTGAATATAAATAGTGATTATATCTTTTACACTTTTACAGACTTATAAATAATAATTTCTCTTGAATATATCAAAATTTTCTATTTTAAATCACTAGTTTTGATAGTCAAGATACATATTAAATATAGAAAATTACAATTAATTAATCAAAATGACCTTTTGTTCAATGAAACCAAAATTTTAAAAAATTATCATATTGTGTTTAGAGATTGTACTATAATAGGTATTTTTAGAAAATTTTAATAAAATAATTTTATTATTTGAGTAACATGTTGTGATAGTGTCACGTTACCATTATTGTGAGAATTATTATAATAAATTACAGACAGCATATATGCTTTCTCAGACTGATGAATTAACAAATAATATTTATTGCCAAATTGGCAATAGTTCAAATTACTATAAAAACCCAAAAGGCCTGACCATCTTTGTCAGTCGACTCCAGTGCCTTGTGTCATTCATCAGTCTCAGTACTCGGTTGTCACTGTTCGGCTTACTTCTTAAAGTAAAGTCTTTGTTTTTTTCCTTGTTAACCTATCTACTCTCTTCCATAACATTTCAGAGTACTTACACTTCTTCTGCACCTCGTACTCTGTTATCTTCCTCACCTGGTACGCCTAATATTTGTGTCTTTCACTTTGTTTGCACCTCATACCTAGGTGTTACCCTTATTCACCTCCTTTAACAACAGCCTTTCGACACCCACAGCTAACCTGGAGTGTCAGCCGAGCACGGTGACTGCTGTATGACAACACGCTCATGAATACCTAGACAGCAGGCTTCTCATCATCCTCATCTTTATCTTTGTATACATTTTACTTACTGTTTTGTGTTACGACAATGTTTTTGGAACAATACAAAACAAATTCACTAAGTGAAACTTTTTTGCTTCATCATTACTGAAAGATCTTTTATGATAATACCAATACCAAGTTGAATTTGGTATACATTGATAAAATCCAAAGTTTATAAATTTTTGTTTAATTGATATGTTAGAAAGTGGTAGTAACTCATATTCATGACATTAGTTTTGGGAAAAAGCTATGAATTTATATTTACAAAATAATGTTACACATAAATATTTTAAAAATTGAAAACATAAGATGTTTTATTGTACAATTAAGTTAAAAATGTATTTGATTATATTTAGGTTTTAACAAATGTAATGTCATGAAATACAAAAGAAAATAATATTAAAAGCAGTAATTGAAATTCTTATTAAAATAAAACTGTTAATATTCATTTTAATTGAGTTATATTTTTATGATAAAAATATACTAACCATCATGATCAGACACTAAGCCTTGTAATCTTAATATACTTTCATTCATGTTTATACTAATATCACTCTTTTTCATTATGCCAGATACCAGATTAAATACAAATCCTGGATATACATTTTCAGTTTTAAACAATGCAGACCTCAATGTTTGAGAAGCTGAAACATTGTGTTTCTCCAGCTAAAAGTAAAAATTATTTCTTAAATGCAATAAGTTATTAAAACCGATGTGAAATATGTATACTTGATATTATTCCTAAATATTTAGTTTAGAACTAGATTGAAATTGAAAAAAACTTAAAATATTTTACATAATTTATTTTTTTAAAACGAGAATGTTTAAATATGAAAACAAGGAGCAGTATTTTTATTTACTTGTAATAATATTGGTCTGATGAGGACCGGAAGAACTAGAGAACTAACAGGTGTTTCGTCATTCATTTTCATTATTCGTTGACAATTTCATACAAAAATAACACAACATCAAATCATCTTCTGAGAAAAATGTCACAATTGCTAATTAAGAATTTTACATTTCACGATCTGTAATCAATAAAAGCATCACATCAGTAATTAAAAACAAAAATTCTGTCAATTTTATTTTCAAAGATTTACTTTATCGTATTGTAAACAAAATAAAATACCCTTAAGATAATTCAAATTTTAACTTACAATGGACATAAGAGAATTTTCGGGAACAATTTTTATTTAAAGCAATACAAAATTACATTATTAACTTCAAAAACCTTATAGAACTACTGAAACAGTATAGAATTAAAATGGTATCGTAAAATTATTAAAAGCAAGGACCAGACAGGTTTAAATATTGATATCAGCAAATATAATTAATTTCGAAAAATAAAAATAATAAATAATTTATTATTTTTGAGTAATATAAACATGTCTCATTTTTATAAACATATAAGCAAGAATTATTGTCAATCATTAAATATAAACTTAACATAACATTAATGACCATTTAAATTCATTACAACAATGAATTCACTTTACCATGTTGATGACACTAAAAGTTAAAATCGGTTTTATTATAATCCGATGTATTTGTTGAACTCCGTTTTTTATCAATGATTTTAACGGGTAACAGTTTGTACACCGATCTTTTTCTACAATATTTTGGTTTAGAACGAACATCATTCCATAAATCGTATAGACTTTATTATTTATTTTGTTGTATAATCATATAAATTTAACAAATTCTTCTAGTAAAGTTAATAAAATTTCTTTCGTAAACAAAATAATACATTTTGCTAGGTTGACTAATTGTCGTTTAACGATATTATTTAAGATATGTATTATTTATTTTGTTGGTTATGTTTTAATGATACACTAAACATTAAATGGGTATTAAAGCTTTCTATGAAGTTGTTTTAGTTAAATAAGATAATACGAATAATGACAAGTTTTAGGCATCATTTATAATGTTACGCGTTAAATACATTAGGTGTACATTTAGATGATACAGTATTTAAGTCAACTCTACATTTGACTATTTTAGTCGGGGTCACATAATTAATATAAAACCGACATAGTTGCTTAATATATTAATTACTATATGACAATACTCAAGTATCTAACTATACTAACGTTTTTGGTATTCATGGTTTTTGCTCGTTTAAAGTTATGGGTAATTGGACCAGTTGTTGTTCGTATAGCAGTCCTTTACCTAGTCGTAAGGAAGTCAATGGTACTGTGAATGAGTTTCCTCAAGAAGGCGAAGAAAGTGTTGGAAATCTTCAGCATATTAGTGAACGTGAACAAGATGATTGGAACACTGATCCATCAGTTCACCCCAAGGTTGCCACATTATTTTTAGAACGATCTAAAGTTGAAAGTAAGTCAAACCTCTTGGGCTATTATTAATTATTTTAAAATCAATTTTATACATTCACTTCTGCTGTTTAATGGCTATTGTCATTAGTCTTACTTATAACTTATGGATAAATTAAAATAGTCATTCAAACCTTTAATTAAAACAATTTGCTGTTTTATATTTATTAAAAGTAGTAAAAAATAAAGATTTTTTCAGTTAAACCAAGCATAATAAATACACTCTTATGGCTATATAGTTAATTTAAAAATATTGTCCAGTTTGTAAAATTATATTGTTATTAATTTTATTATAATACATTTTTTTGCAGATGGATTAATCAGAAAACATAGTCAATCTCAGGTGTGTATAATTATGAAATAAAATTTCAATATTCTTTTATTTTTTTATTATTTTATCACCTTAAATATACTCATAAGAGTACCTATTATGAATATAGGTGCAATATGATGGGTTAAAAAGAAGCTTGGCTTCTTCTAAAAAAAAGTTATAAAAATTATTAAATGTATTCTATTTTTTAAATATTTTTAGGGATGTAAAAATTAAGTAAACCTCAAAAGTTATTCAAATTGAGTCTATGATAATGGTATCATGATAAGCCTCTCTTTAAAATAAAAATTCTGGTTATATCACTGTTTTTATTTTATTTTCATATTATAAAATTTAATTTAATTTGTACTTTAATTCAATATTTAATTATTAAAAGTATTTTCATTATAATTATCATAAATTTAATTTTTTTTTTTTAGATAGTTGATTTTCGATCTCTTAAAAAAAGTAGTTCTTGTTCCACTATATATTTAGATGATAGTACAGTTTCTCAACCTAATTTAAAAAATACAGTCAAATGTGTAGCACTAGCAATTTATTACCATATAAAAAATAGAACTTCTGAAAGGCAAATGGAAATTTTTGATGAAAAATTACATCCACTTACAGTGAGTCAGTTTTAATTTTTAATTATTGACAATTTTTATTATTATTATTATTTTTTTTTTTTGTACTAGAGAGATCATGTACCTGATAATTATAATATACTAAGTCCAGAACATCGCCAAATATACAAATTTGTTCGAACATTATTTAATGCTGCCCAATTAACAGCTGAATGTGCAATTGTTACCCTTGTTTATTTAGAAAGGTTACACATAAAAATATTTTTAAACAATTTCACAATTATTCTTTATTTTTTTCTTTTTAGGTTATTGACATATGCAGAAATTGATATAACACCTGCTAATTGGAAAAGAATTGTGCTTGGAGCAATTTTATTAGCTTCAAAAGTATGGGATGACCAAGCCGTGTGGAATGTTGATTATTGTCAAATTCTTAAAGATATAACAGTTGAAGACATGTAAGAATATAACTATTAGCTGTACTATTGGGTATATAAAGTGGTCCACAATGTTTTGATTAATCTATAAATCATTTTAAATTACTTTTTTTTTTAATAATTTATGTATTCTTAAATTAAGTTAATATCATTTTTTTAGCTTCAATTCAAACCTAATTACTGACCTAACCTGTTTCCTTACTTACTGAACACTCTGTATATTACACTATAAGTGTAAGAGCCATATGTCAACATTTAATTTGATATTTTGTTATATTTAATTCATTTAATTATTTTCTATCTTAATTTACTAGCTACTTATTTATTTTTGATTTGAGTTTAATTAGAAATTTTAAAAAGAAAGGTAACTCTTATGGAAATTTGAAATTTTATTAAGTAAAAAGATTATTATTGTAGTCAATTTGTTATGAAAAGTACAAAATTGTAAAGTTCATTGAAATCTATGGTTCATTTTATATGCAATGAATATATACAAAGTGTCTCAGATCTAACTAACAATGCTTAAACTTTTGATACAATAATTATTTTGTTTTTAAATTTATTTATAAATAATTATTACCTTCTTAGGCATCCTTTAAAATGAATATTTTTATTATTATTCATTAATAAGAAATAATAGTAAAAATTATTTATTTTTTTTTTTTTTTCAAAATTTCAAAATGTCCATTTTAGTTCTTTTTTTACCAAAATTTTTAATGGGTTCATAACAATTTTTATACAAGTAACTCATTGAGTTATAAGTATTTTAATACAAAAAGTGTTCATGGGAGGTGGTCAGAGTTTATGTACATCAATTCAGGCTGCATCCACCTTTACTACTTATGCATATATATCTAACCATTAACATTTTTTGCAAGAAAAAGACTAAAAAAATACCTATTTTGAAATTTTGAAAAAGATTTTATTTTCATTTATTTTTTTTTAGTAATAAATAATAAAAAATATGCTTTAAAGGTAGTCTAAAAAAGAAACAATTATTTAAAAACAAAAAGTTGACAAAATAATCTTCTTTTGTGGTTATTAGGCCACTGAGGACCATCCCATTTTGCACCCTAACCTTCATCCTTCTCTATTTGACACTTTTTCTTTCCAATCAAAACCTCCGCTAAGTAGTTCAAAATCTTTCCATCTTATTTGGATCTTCTCAACGGTTTTTTTTGTCGCGGGTTTTGTTCATTACTGTTTTTATCAGTTCATTCTCGCTTCTCTAATCCATTGTAGTGTTGACTTTTTAGTCACGTCACGAAATATAAATTCTCTATCAAACTCACACTTTTTGAAATACCTGCCTTAGTATAAATTTTGGTCTACTGTTGACCTTTCCATCCTGATGGAAGCTACCTTAATAGTTTCCAATTGTTTTAATTTTTCTTTCATTATGGCTAAGATAAAATTAGATAGTATTTTATGTCTTATTTAACAAGAAAATGCCTCCATAGTTTTTGCTATCTTTAGTATTTTCTTTTTTATGTATAGGACATTTCACAGTTTTCTATTTCTCAGGTAATTTTTTTGTATTCCAGATTTTTTTAATTAAATACCATATCCGTCTGCATTCCTCCTTTTTTCAATAGTTTTGCCTGTACTTTGTCTTTGACTGGTGACTTGTTATTTTTAGCATTTTTATTTGTATTTTAATTTCACAATTATCTTAATGCTTTTTTTTTCACGACCGGCTTAGTTTTAGGCCGCCCTGGAACTACCATTAGGTATTACTTCAGGGCGGCCCTGGCTGTCTTTAAAACTCACACCACCACGTTGTGAATCAGCCCGAAATTAATCAAGAGCTGATTCACAACGTGGTGTGGCCTCCCCCTGTCAATGCGAGGGGGGCAAAAATAACTCACAAAAACATAAAACATAAGACACGAATACCTAAGGCGCCGGCCTTAACCAGCGCCTTAGGTCCTTCTGTACCGGGCGGCTCGGGTGCCTCTGTCTCAGGCGTTTAGCTTCCTCCTTCTTTTTCAAGATGAATTCGGCGAATGCCTGGACGAGCCTCCACGCCTCCCGGCTTCCCAACATCAGATCCACCAGGGACCCGACTCAGAGTGTGGACCCTAGACGGGACTCCAAAGAGTCCCGTTCCTGGGCCCACGCCTCGCACCGGAAGAGGGTATGCAGAGCGCTATCAGCCTTTCCCGGGCGATCTTAATGCTTCCCATCAAGGAATTATACACATCTTTCAGCGTGACATAGAGTTCCTTATTTTCATCATCCCCTTTATCTTCTGTGTGTGCTTATGCATTGATTATCACTATGTCTAAAACATTTGTTTTTAATGTAAAAGTTGATATCCTTGGGTTAATATCTTTAAAACTTTTATCTCTATGTATTATCGACTCATGTAAAACCCATACCTAACTTGTGTCCTTTTTCACATATTCCATTAAAAATGGTTGTCTGTGATATCTTTGTATTATCTTCCTTTTTTTCCAGCTAACTTCTTGCAGAGCTATTTATTTCATTCCATACTTCTGTACTTCTACCGTCAAATTTACTTATTTATTTTCATTTTATTCTCCAAAAAAAGTTATTCATTAAAAAAATAATAATTTATTGTATTCAATGAGTAATGAAACACATTTTTATTGTTCTCATTGTTTATAACAATTTACTTGTTACTACATTGAAGTTATCATTTTTTAATTTTTTATAAAATTTCTTTAACATGAGTTTTACTTTCCTAATTCTAAGTTAAGCAAAAAAAAAGTCATAAGACATAGATCAGTTATTTCTATTAAAATTGCCTCATCAACACAATTTAAGAGGTCTAGAGCATGTTTAAGCTTAAGTTGGGATCAGTTCCAAATCTTGCACAGCTTATTTTTATGAGCATTAAAAAAAAATTAAGTGGTTGTGTGAATAAAAAAAATTTGATTTTTGAGGGCTACCCTAATATTTATATAAATACCAGCTTTTGTCTCACAGAATTGTTTTCAAAATGACTTTTTTTTTTATTTTTAGATTGATGAATGTCTTTTATTACTTTGGGCCATATTTACACCAATAAAATATTTAGTTTATTTTTGATAGAAATAGAAATGGTCCTTAAATTTAAAAAAAATATTAAAATTTTAAACTCCTTAATATTGGTTTTTTTTCTTATAATAACTGGTATATTATAAATATTTATTATCAATAAATTAAAATTTCATTAGAAAGAGTTATACTAGTGAAATTTTGGGTAAAGTTATGTTATTTTTATCTAATTTATCTAATACATAAATTTAATAAAGTTTGATGAGGTTTTTTAATCTTACTGTTCAAACTAAGTATTCATGTATAAGATTCTTAATATACATGCTATTTCTAGGAATGAATTGGAACGTCAATTTTTAGAAATGCTTCAATTTAATATAAATGTTCCATCAAGTGTTTATGCCAAGTATTATTTTGACTTGCGTTCCTTGGCCGAAAATAATGAACTAACATTCCCTGCAGAGCCTTTGAGCAAAGAAAGAGCAAAAAAATTGGAAGCTATGTCTAGAGTATTTGAAGATAAAATAACAGCAGAATTCTTAAAAAATGGAGTTAAAAAATGGTCTAGTTTAGACAATGTAAGTTGTGCTGCAATTACAAGAAGAAGTGCTGCTATTTTGTCTTGAAAAATTTGATGTTATTAAATTATAACAATGAATAATATGACGTCACCAAAATTGTGATTATTAATCATTTTAATTAAAGTTACTATAGTATTAAGTCCCTTCCTCAGCTAACTTTTTTATTTGGTACTCAAGATATATGAACATTTTTAGTCATTTTTTTTATATTTATACATATAAAGTATACTAAAGCTTTACTGATCATTCAATATTTTATTACTTTATATTTTTAAATAATTAACAAATATTTTCATTCAATCAATAAAATATTGACTAATAAATTTTATTTAGTGTTACTAGAATTTCATTATTCATACTATACTAAAAATGCCATATTAAAGTATTTAAAATTGTTATTTTTAAATTTTATAATCAAAAATAACTTAAAATTTTAATGTAATTAACACAAAAGAACTAGTTTATTTTAACTTATTATATTTTATTTTTTTGTGAGGGTAATTATTTATCTGAAAATATTATTACATTTTTTTTTATATATATAATAATTTATATATTATAAAATTCTTTTGAGCACGCTTATGTCAAAGTAAAAGATTTTTTAAAACATAAAATATTAAATTAATGGTTTAAGTAATTGATTTAATATAATATGTTATACAATAATATTATTCTGTAAATGACTTTATAAAACATATTTTTATATTTATATATTCTATTATTTTTAAAAATATCAAATACATTGTGAGTTTTTGAATAGATTTCTACTGAAACTCATTAGAAAAACCTATTTCGAAATTTATGTTATATATTTAAAATGATATTATATTTCTATATTGATGGTCTAAATTAAGTACTTTTATTAAAAATTACAAATGTTTTAATGTGCTGATTTTAAATTATAGAAAATATCTTATTAGTTAAAGTTAAATTTGAAAACAAAGTATTAAGAAGTTAATATATACTCTATCCACCAAATTTTAAAAGCTATACAGTTTGTTTGATAAAAAAATTCAGTACAGTGGGGAAGTGGCATATTAGGATCAAGTATAATGATATCTGACAGTGATTAAAATCACTATCATAAGAAACGCTTCAATGCAAATCTGTAGATAATGTTTCAATTTAAATTGTTTTCAAATTATTATTGATCTTGATTTTTAATATATTAAAACTAATTATTTTTAACCTACTTTTTTTTGTCCTTTAAAGTGATAGTTTATAATAGAAAATATAAAAGAATTTATTACCATAACTTTTAGCTCAACTTACATGTTTGAAATTCACATCATTAAATAGAAAAAAATGGTATTGTTAAGATTAATATGAAGTCGCAAATTATATAATTACTATTTACGATGAATTTATCAGAAAATTCGAATTTTTTTCGTAATAGATCACATAAATAGAAATCATAGTAATCATTTCTAATTAACTTTTGGTGTTCAAAAAGATTCTACAATGGAAATATTTAAAACTTAATTAATTTTAATGGTTTACTTAAACTAAAAGAACCAATAAAACAAAATTATTAAAAAGATTTACTCAATTGAGCGTATTATAAAATTTGATTATAATTGTAAAAATCCATTGTTAAATTCAGGTGAAACTAAAAATCATTTTTTTTTTAGATTTATGTTTTATATAGCAACATATTACAAAAAAATTTAGAATATTGTAGACTGGAAAAGCTGGTTAAGCTACATTTTATTTGAATAAGAGATTGTAAGCTAAACTAATAAACATCAGCCTCACTTTACAAGGACCCCAAGAAGGGTCCACCCTGGGCCGAGGCAAAGCCGGAGCACCAGGGATTTTGTACCTTATTCTATGGTGAAAGGTAATGAAGAATAGTAATTCTTTAAGATAACAAAGATTAAAATTTATTAATTATTACAAGTTCAATTTTTGTTTATCATAACAACTAAACTTAATAGACAATTAAATTTTACTAATAAACAAAATAGATCTAAATATATCCGAATAAACCGTAGTATGTTAAATAAAATACTATGAAAATTAAACAATGGTCAAGGATCAGAAAAAAAATATATGAGTAAAAGGTAAGTAAGGCAATAACAGAAAGAAAAACAGGTACCTTTAGATAAACCCAGTTAATATGATTTTGGCCTAATAAATGTTTTTTTATGTACATGCAACATTTTACACCCATAAAGGTAAAACAGTGAATGGTGATTGATTGCAATTATATAGAGTTAACTGTCTACAGACAGACTGGCTTCAGAATGGTCTTTGTATTTTGTGAGTTGTATAATTACACATGGCCCATGTGGTTTAAACATAATGTTCACATAATCAGTATTTAAGAGTTCATTTCAGAACAACTTAACATATCAAATATTAACTGGATCAAATAATTAATTTAATAATGTAACAACAAGAGAAAACACAAAGAAAATAGGAGGGTAACGTGGGTATGACAGATCCATCGTATGGGTCAGGGTAAAATGGACATGTCACCAACGTCAATAGGTATCCTCTACATAAGTGTAGAGGACCCATTAAGATGTTCACCATGTCCACTCTGACCACACCCGAGAACCTGTCAACTCACGTAAGGTGAAGAAAGAAAAATTAAAGAAACAGAAAGAATTGACCATATAACATAATCTGAGATCATAGTTACAATCCATATAGTCATTAACTAAAAAATAAGAGGATGACGAAATAGTCATAGCCCAAAACACAATGAAGTAATTTACATATGCAAGCAGTGGCGGCTCGTGGGTCTCGGAAGTGGTGAGGCAAACTTTTAATTTAGTAAATCTTAGGTGTTTACATTTCATTTGATATCATTTTTTAGAAAATCTGACTCTAAACCAGCCAACAGGGAGATTAAAAAAAGTATTTTTTGCACATAAGTAAAGCTTTTTCAAATAAAGTTTTGAAAATATACCGGAATATTGATACATTTACTTAATTTTTTATTGAGTAGATCTTTTTAACAACTTTTTTTATTAGTTTTTTTAAATAAAATTAATTCAGTTCTGCATATTTCAATTGTAGAATCTTTTTAATCACCAAAAGTTAATTAGAAATGATTACTATGATTTCTATTTAAGTGATCTATTACTATAAAAATTCGAGCTTTTTCTTTCATTTGACATACTGTTTTTTAAATTGGATCACTTTTCTTTATACAGAGGCGTTCAAAACTTGAAACATACGTAAAAAAAGTAGAACTTGTTTAACCTACCAAAAGTTAATTAGAAATGATTACTATGATTTACCATTGATGAAACTAACCCAACCTATTTATGTGATCTATTACGATAAAAATGCAAAAAAATTCGAGCTTTTCTGATAAATTCATCGTAAATAGTAATTATATAATTTGCGACTTCATATTAATCTTAACAATACCATTTTTTTCTATTTAATGATGTGAATTTCAAACATGTAAGTTGAGCTAAAAGTTATGGTAATAAATTCTTATATATTTTCTATTATAAACTATTACTTTAAAGGACAAAAAAAAGTAGGTTAAAAATAATTAGTTTTAATATATTAAAAATCAAGATCAATAATAATTTGAAAACAATTTATTATAAAAATTATATATTATATTTTTGAATCTAAGAATTACTAATTTGAATATAATTAATAATATAGAAATTGATATTGTAATTATCCACCAATTTCTTAGAATTAAACACTAAATCTACTGATTTGCATCGAAGCGTTTCTTATGATAGTGATTTTAATTACTATCAAATTAAATCTATACTGGACACAACTATGCCACGTCCATACTGTACCTTGACCCCTCTGTGTTGGTTTTTTTTTAATACAATTTTGTTTAATATTTGAATATAGCCATTTTATAAATAAGTTTTAAAGAAAAATTTTTTTACCAAAAACTCTTACTTTCATTCAGTAGTTACGTTTATATAGCATTTTTAAATTTGGTAAATTTTGATTTTTGTTTACAATTTTCCTATGGTATCAAATGTTAGTCGATATTATATTAAGTATACACTTATTATGTATTTTACTAGTATCAGTACGCAATTTCTTTTCAAAAAAAAAACAAATAGATTGTTTAAATAATAATAAATAAATAAATTATTAAAAAAAAAAAAGTATAAAATGTTATGTAGATCATAAGTTCTATGAGATGTCAGATAGATTTGTTCCACTTTGTATACGCTTAAATTTTGATTAATTATCGAATTATGTGATTTTATAACGTGTTGTACACGTATTAATACGGAAATTTAGTAGAGCGTTTAGCCACAGAATAGATTAAACCAGAAGTGACACTCTTAGTTTTTGCTGATAACAAGCTTATGTCGCTCAGTGTTGCCACTTAAGAAATAAAAATGTATTCCCTTTTTTCTTTATATACGGTCACATTGTTCAACACCATTATTAATGGTTTGTTTGTAAACACAATGTTTATAAACATGGTTTATTGGTAAATATGAAAAATATATGGTAAATATTGGTATTAATGAATTAGAAAATATTTTTATTAATAACTTTTCCACACTTGCTATTGTAGATGGAGTTGGAGCCGAATTAAAAAATTATTTTTGTAATGTACCTTTTAACCACCCTTGTAAATGTTTTGATAAATTGTATTTAATTAATTTGTTTACAAGATTTAGAATATTTACAGCTATAAAATTTTTAAATAAAAATTTAATGTCTGAGAGAAAAGTTAAAATAGGAAATTGTCTATTTTAACTCATCTATAAATTATTTATTTATGTATATGATATTTGTAAATTATTGTAATATATGTTTTAAATAAATTTAATATTATGTGGATATTGAATAATTTTTTTTTCCTAAATAAGTCTTTATTAAATATACATAAAATAAAAAATATATTAACACAAACTAATTACACATAATGAAAACATTAATTGAAAGTTTTAAAATGGTGTTATATGTTTAGAAATAATAATAAAATAAATCCAAAAAATTTACTATGCAAATTTTCTAAAATAATTAGCATGTAAATAATACATTTAGAGTTCAAATCAACCGCCGATGTACAATTATTGTACAGTACAATGAATTATATGCATACAATTATTTATTTTATTGTTTTTATGGTAACACTGAGCGACATAAGCTCAAAATTACCGTACTCTCATAAGAATACATGTAATTTTTTTATCAGTGTCCATTCTGGTTTAATCTATTCTGTGGTTTAGCCTCATTTATAAATCAACTGAATATATTTTTATTATTAATTAACTTTTTTTTAAATAATTTGTTTAATTTGATTGATAAAACCAATTATTTTAACAATTAAACGTATATGATTTTAACAAATTGTAACCAGTTGTCTTATTTAGACGAGGAATGAGCGCCACTAAAAAAAAAAAAATTACAACTATTGAAAAACAATCAAATTTATACAAAGTTAAAATTCATCTTCAGTACTTGAGTAGTACTTAAATAGAGGTTACGGAGATTGCCACGAACTGATAATGCTTCGACATTCATATACTCCGACATTGTAAAAAAATCCCCCGAATACATTTACTCCGACAACAATTACTACGAATACCTCGTTACAAAAATTTGGATATTACTACGACGATGAATACTACGAATAGGAAAATTAGTTGATTGCTCCGAATATCGATTAAAAAATTATCAAATTTCGGAGTAGATGATTATCGTAGCAATATATTATCTGATGGAAAAATATAACATGTATATATACATATAAAATTAATTCAAATTTTTAAATAAACACTATTTTGTATTTACAGACAATACATTTGTATTTGCAGGATACACGTTAAGCTAACGAGATGAAAACATTGGCAAAATAATCATCTTTTCGCAGTGTCGGCCTGGCTCAGAAGGCCTTCATTAAATTTAAGATTTTTTTCTCGCTGGACCATGGAGAATTATCTGAAAGGTCATTAAGGAAAATTGCCTCCGGGATCATCTCTAAGGTTCCAGACCGACACTATTTCCTAATAAATATCGATTAGATCTGGCCAAAGCTGAAAGTCATTCAAATGAGGATGATCTTTGAACAAAAACAACACTGTCAAAAAAAAAATGTTTTAATTTTTGACTATTTTCTTATTATACCTTACTATATAGACAGTACACAAATAAAAAAAAAAATGTGATTAGCGACAATAAGTGTTCTTGCTGTTATCGGTGATGGGTAATAGAACCATCTCACGACAAAAATAATTATATTTAAATACTATATTTTGGTGGGTAATATTTTGGAGGGGGTATAAAATTGTTTTTATGTATTTCCTTGATCCACGATAAGACATTATGAAGTAGTGATAAATAGGTTTAGAATAGGACACACTAGGCTCGTTTATGGGCACCTCATACAAGACGAGCCTGAATAATGTATCACCTATGGGGAAGACCTTACTACGAAATTTACCATGATTCGTTGTAAAAAATATACAAACATCAGAAACAACGTCATTTTCCTGAAAATCTGTACGAATTACTAGGACCGAACCATGAAGTCATTGAAAAAGTTATTTCTTTTTTAAATCAAACTAAATATTATAAAAAAAATCTAACTTTTTGAATTTAAAAATTATTTATGTTTACATAAATACCTACATTTGTAAATTATTTTGTAAATATCTAATTGTTATAAAACTTGTTAATTACTATAAGCCAATAACTATAGACTCTCAGGTCTTAAATAAAAATTTAGTGTTTTTATGTATATTTTCCAAAAACAAAATTTTGAGAACACCCTTGTTACTCTCGTATACGGGCATAATTTTTTTTGTGATATAGTTTTTCCTAACTTATACACCGTCCTTAATTTTTTGTGGTTAATATCCAAAGAACTGCGTGACAAAAATAGGTTATTAAAATTACTTTATAATTTTTTAGAAAATGATTTTTTTGGCCGTGTCCGCCAAAGTATAACGAATCAATTATCGATAAGATTATTTTTGCACTAAAAATATTTTTTTGAAACTTAGAATCTATAGAACTTATATATTGAGAGAGAGTTAAAATAAATTATTTTTCAGCATCATATATGTTCGTTGGGTCGAACAAAAACATACAGTCGATACGAATAGTATGCCAATAATGCGCCTTTTGCCACTATTATTATTCGTCTATACTTAAGCGAATAATTTTTCACTTCTATTTTAAATATTAGAAAAAACCTATGTATACGATAAAAGACAATTTATTTTATGCGTTTGAGAAGCAATAAAGATTTCCACATTAAAATCTCCTACTTTCCCCGATTTGCAGATATATTTGAAAGTACGATCCTTTCTTTGAATCCGATACACGAGTGTAAATCGTGATCACAAAGGCTTACATAACTAATGAATATTGATAGCAGAACATCTCAATGTATTCCCTCCTATAAATCTATTTTGAATGCAACGATGACTAGGAATTCACTCGTTTATCTTGGTGAAAATTCCCCTCGAGTAACATGACCAGTTGGACTTTGATCTAATCACCTGGGAATCTCAAATCTGCCAAAAGAGTGGCAATATGAAATATATTGGTCTATACAAGCAATGTACGACACCCATTCTATACCTAAGTCGAATCGGTGAAGTAGAGTCGACAGCTTTTTTTCTAATCGTTTTAAATCTTTTAGTTTTTTTTCAATTTAATAATTATTTATATTATTATTATTATTATTATTATTATTATTTATTTTTAAAACAATATCTACAAAATATCTTCAGGTACAATTCTTTAATTACTACAGAAAAAATAAAAATTTATCCATCGTATAGTTTTTGCTCTTTACTTCAAAAATACTTTATGCATAACATAATGGCTGTGACTTAAATATCTAATTTGATGGTCAAGTTCAAAATATTTTCTGTAAGCTTTAGTGATATGTCTTTCTCAACCACAAGTCCTCCGTATACCCATAAATAAAATATTTTCACCGTGTCAGAGTATAAATGTATTCTTTCAATTAATATTAATAATTGAAATTAAATAAATAAGAATAAATGTTACCTGAGACACAGTACAAAATTTTAATTTCTTATTTTTTTTAGGTATATAGACTTGTGGTTGAGAAAGTATATAGGAATTAAGCTTACAGAAAATATTTCAAACTTGACCATTAACTTTTAAGTCCTAACTAAAAACAAAAAAAAATATTGTAAATTTATATATTACTCATTATAATAATCATATATTTATTAAATATTACAATTTTCATTGTTAGTTATAAATACTATGTTTAAATGATAATGCTATAAGGGTTTATTTTTTGTTTAAATAATATATTATATTCATGGAACAGTGGTAATTAATATTTAGACTAGATATAATTTTAAAATAAATTAATAAAATATTTTTACTAACTAACAGTAATGATGATACACAAGTTACAGCATAAAATACATTAAATGGACTAGACATCTTTGTTACTTTATTAATAACAAAAAAAAAAATGTATTAAATGTTAGTTTACAAGTGATAAGTACATATTTTTAAGGGGAATACCAATTATTTAATATTATAAAATGTTTAACTACTGATTAATAAAATATCAAAGAATAATACTTGTGAAAAATAATGGAGTGTATTGTTAAAAATATGTGAAGTCTAATTTTGTAACAATTTCATTGTAATTATTATTAAAAAAAGGAAAGGCTTTAAGAATAATAAAGAAAAATAAATATTATTTTTATCATACTCTAATTTATCGCATTACGCCTCACTACACACCGTTGTTAGCATACTTTACCTGCCTAACGTCGTTTTGACGGTTTTAATCTATATCTAATACACAATGCGGAATATTTATAATTGCTTAATGTCACGTAATTGTCCTGCATGTAACATCGCCGTTCACAGACATTTATCATCAATTGGTTGTTCGATCTGCTTTACTCTTTACCATTCATCTTGTCTAGATATACCACCTAAGTCTCTTACACTTTATAAAAAATCAAATAGTAATTGGATCTGTCCTTTACATTCTACAACTATGCCTGTTTCACCAAAAATAACTGTAGATAATGCTAAATCTAATAACCCTCTTACATTAAACGATTTAGCTAAAATTATTAGTACATTGTCTTCTAATCAAGACAATAGCTTTAAGTTAATTAATTCTCGTATTGACAATTTATCAACGCATTTAGATAAATTAGACTCGGCTCTAGCTGAGTGTCAAAATAAAGCTCAGAGTCTCGAAGTCAGGGTTAAAGCATGGAGACCCGAAAATCAGTTTTGGATACTAACTCTAAGGACTTTTCCTTGGTTGTCAGGAATGAGGTTTTTGACGTCCAAAAGCGCTATCTTAATATTATCATACATGGTATTAAGGAATCTCTTGAAACGGTTACTAAAGATCGTATATCACACAACAACAATATTAACGAGCTTTTTACCCTACTATCTATCAATTCGGATGTAATAAATAACATTTCAAGATTGGGTCACCCATCATCATCAAGTCAAAGACCAATTAAGTTGATTTTACAGAGTTCTTGTGATGTTGATAGAGTTTTAATGTCATTTACGAAAGTAAAACGTGAATCTCCAACCACTTTACATAATATCTCAATCGTCAAAGACTGCACTCTGGTTGAACGCCAGCACATAAAAGAAGTTTACATGGAATTCAAGAACAGGCTCGAGGCAGGGGATAAGAATATAAAAATCCAATACTTCAATGGAATTCCTAAAATTGTAAATATTAAAAAAAACTAAACAATAGGGTGAAGCCCAATAGTTATATTAGTAAGTTAAAATCAATGTTCAATAATCATAAATCAAATAATTTATTTAATAAGCCTTCTGTATGTATCAATTCTCATCTCTCTGGTTACTACCAAAATGTCCGTGGTCTTAGAACCAAATTAAATTTGTTAAAATGTTCAATACCTTCATCTTCTCATGATTTTATAATATTTACTGAGACATGGTTAAATAACACTTTCTTTGACAATGAGTTAGGTTTTACCCAGCATAACGTATTTAGATATGACAGAACCGGAAAAACTAGTCCTCATAGTTGTGGTGCAGGAGTTCTCGTCGCTATTAAAAAAACTTTAAATTCCAAATTGCTTAATATTGATACTTTAAACGTAGAACAAGTTTTTGTCAAAGTTTTAGTTGGTGATCTTTTAATTATTTTTTGTGCTGTATACTTTACACCTAATAGTGATTTACAGTTATACTTAAATCACCTCTCAGTCTTAGAATCTATTGATTCTTCTTTCTCGAATTGCAATCTTATTATTTGTGGCGATTACAATATTCCCTCCTTATCCTGGAAAACGACAAGTATGAGTTTAAGTGTGTCAACTTTCTTGCTTCTCAAGTAGGAAATTCTCTTATTGAGAGCTGCTCTTTGTTAAATTTATATAAATTTAATTCTATTATTAATTCTCATGGAAATGTTCTAGATTTGGTGTTTTCTAATCTCCTAGAGAACTCTATATATCTTCACGAGGATCCACTTGTCCCTATTGATCCTTGCCACCCTGCTATTCAAATTAATGTTCAATTACCTATCGTACAGCCTATTCTTAACAACGACAGAACAATTTTCAACTATGAGAAAGGCGATTATAATAATGCAAACCTATTTTTTAATTCTTTCAATTGGTTGAATACTTTTAGACACCTTAACACAGAGGCAGCGGCTCTCATTTTCCAACAGGCGCTCTTAGAAGCTTTACATTCTTTTGTCCCTCTAAAAATCATTAGCACCTCCCATAATTTTCCTAATTGGTTTAACAAAGAACTCAAAATTCTTGTTTGGAAGAAAAATAAAGCCCATTCAATTTATATCAAAAATAAAAATAGATTAAATTATGAAAAATTCTCTTTGCTGCGAGCTCAATATAAATCGCAGTCTATGATTGTTTTTCATGATTTTATACACAGGTCAGAAAATGAAATTATAAGTAACCCGAAATATTTTTGGAATTGGGTCAAATTTAATACTAAGCCCCACGGTATACCAAATTCAGTATTCTTAGGTGATACTACTGCTAATATTGGTGCGGATATTGCTAATTTATTCTCAGATTATTTTTCCACTGTATATAACACTTCACCCGTTCCTTCACTTGATGAATCTTACATTTCCGCATCTACTTATCAATTCGATCATATCATCCCTATTAAATGTAGTATAT